ATAATAAACAGTGTTACAAAATGCGAAATTATAAAATTAAAAGGGCGAAAATCGAAATTATCGCGAAGGTGTAAAGGGAAGATAGCGAAGGGAATGTTTTTCAAAGAAATATGCTAAAGGCGAGCATGGGATATTGAGCTTTTTTAGGATTTCCGGCTCGTATTTATAAAAAATTTTAATTAAGTCATCCTGGCATTTTGACCATTTTTCACACTGGCACCTTGACAAACTGGCATCTGGCATCAAAGGGACTAACTGCAATTATCAAGAGCGATCTGCAAGAGAATTTATGAAGATTTCGGCCGGAATTTGCATTTAATTGTACAATATCGTCTGACCTTCATTTTTCAATAATATTTACAACTTCAAAAAGTATAAATGTTTTTGAATAAGCAAAGATTTTGTACTTAGGGTGGGTTGGAGACAGCTTAAGAATTTGACTATTAAAGGAACGAACTTGTAGAGATAATTTTCAATACGCTATAGCAATAGAAATGAACATTAGATCAAGCAATATTTCGTGAATATTGTTGAACAAACTATCAGAACTTGTCAAGAAGTTTAAATTCAGGAAGATCATGTTTTAGCAAAAGATATTTGTAATTTTAGATAATTTTAAAGAAAAGATAACGTTTGCTTTTTTTTTATAATAAAAAAAAATGTAATAAAGAATTCCTTTATTTTCAAATTAAATTTTTATAGTTATTTAAACAATGGCACCAAATTTTTATGCAAATCTAAAAATCCGACTATTTGATCAATCAGGTGAGCAATATCATGTGATATATTTGAAAATCAGTTGAGATTTATATTAATTTAAAATTAAAAATTACGTCGGTGCTTGCTATAGTATAGCGGTATAAAGCACTTGACAATTCTAATCTCGAATATTGGGTTCGAGTAAAGCTAATACCAAAAAAAAAATAATAAAAAAAAAATTAAAAAATTTTTTTTTCTTAAAAATTATATTTTTAAACATTACATAGAATAGTTTTCGTGAATAACTTAACGTTTTTATATATCATGTATACTTCTCTTAGAACGATAATAGGTAGGTATTTAACGATCACGACGTGTTTTTTCAAAAAAAAAAAATAAAATCTAAGAATGTCCGTGCTCTACTAACAAGTCGTTTTTTTACAGTATTTTACTTATATAACAGTTGGAAGTGCATATGAACTTGTTCATTATAATAAGCGTTCCAAAAGATTTTCAGCTTCTTTTTTTCTACTAAAAACGACAACACATATGAAAAGGCTAAAAAAAAGATGATTTAGTGACAAAGCTTGACGTTTATATTATTAAACGCCAACATTCAAGTAACCGACAAACCGCAGAAACTATGGGGGACTGAGGGAGTTTTAGATGCGCAAAAAATCCACAAAGCCGTAGAAGTTGTAACTTTAGAGACCATGCAAAACTATAAGATCCGAAGAAGCTGTAGGAACTCAAAGAACACTAGAGGCTGTAGGAGCTATAGGAGAAGTCATTAACCATATATACCATTAATTGCGGATGTTAATTTAGGAAATTATAAAAATTTATGACAATACTCAATATAACAAAATATTTGTAATGCTCTAATGGATAGAATTCAAATAGCTGATGGTGCTTTTGAAAGTTTAAATAGAAGGTAACAAGAAAAATAAAAAAATTTTCGTAATGAAGAATATTATAAAGCTTTTGCAGAATTTAATGATATAATGATAAAAACTTAAATATTTTATTGAGATGTCTGCCAGCTACAGGGTTACAACGAATATTTATATCCCGGTTCTATTAAAGATAAGTATAATATATTTTAGTTAACGATTTTGATTTCGTTATGGAAGATTTGATTTTATGACGACAATTGACAGAAAGCTCTTAATGAAGATATAGCCGAAACTCTCAGAGTAAGTTATTCTATAACATTATGGACTGCATTTGTTAAAAAAGTATAATATTCAGATAATAATTATAATTATATATTTCTTTTTTTTTAATATAGTACTTGGAAAGGATTCATAATGGTATTACTTCTGGAAGTTTCCAAATTAATACAGTTCTCCAAGAAGTTATATTAATTAAGAATCAGATAGAAAGCCTTGATGTTTGAAAAAGTGCTACAAATACCTGAGACAATTAAAGTAAACAAAATAGGTCCACATGAGCTTACAGATCCTCTTGTAAGGAAGAAAACTGATTTTCGTGGAAAAAGAAAGCCTTATATTATAAAGAAACTCTTAAATCAGATCACAGACGTCGGTTGTATTCCAACTAATATTATCCAGTTAGAAAAGATTCAAACAAAACTTAGTGCTTTAGAAGAATTTCGAGAATCTCCCAACATTTTGAAATTTTATGGACTCTCTTATATTGATAATCAACAAGTTAAAGTATACGAATGGGCAAACAGGAAACTTACGCGACGCGAAGTTTATAATACATACAATATCTCTTGGGTTGCAAAGGTAAACAATAATGATATTTATTATACAATATTTATATTCAACCTTTTTATAATTATTCTTCAGGTGTCAATTGCTCTTGATATTTGTTGGAAATCACTTCTTGCATTCCTGCTCCGTGCTTCATCACAACATTCGTTGTGAAAACATGATGATTTCGCGTTTGGAACCTAAGATTGCAAATCTTGAATATGCACGTTTTACTAAGATGAACCAATTATTAAAACTGAAAGTGTGCAATGCAATGCTTATTTCTATACAACGAGAAATGTGAATTTTCAGGTAGGAATATTAGATTTTCTTTCCTTTTTTTTTTAAAAAAAAAAAAATAATATATTATTATTAAATCCACAACTTCAGTGTAAAATTCTTCATCTGCTCTTAAACCTCATACAATTTATATTTGGATGGAAATGGAAGAATATATTTGCCAAATTTGAATATGGAATCCTATGTTGATTATTTGCAAGAAATCATGTCATCAAAGGAAGGCATGCAAGCTCATAGAAGAAAAGATTTTGTGACAGCATGGGAATGTTTTAATGCACACGCAAAGTTAGGTAATACGAAAGCCTAATATTGGAAAGGATATTATTTATGGGAAGGTTATTCAGTTAATATAGATCGGGTTGAGACATCAAAATTATTTAAACGGCAGCTGATGACGGATTATTAAAACTATTAAGACTATGGACAAATTTAATACAGAAAAAGAATTTGTGTTAAACTTATTAAAGTTATTAGAGATTTTATGAAGGATATCTCTCAATTACAAGATTTTACAAAAGATATATCAAATATATTTGGTAGTTTGATGAATGATTTGAGATTGTTGTGGAAGACCTGAATTTAATCACGACAATGATCAACCGGCAAGTTATTAAATTTTTTTTTTTTTTAAAAAGAAAAAATTTCTTAAAAGTAACTATTGCTTCCTATTTTTGAATTTAGCCATTATAAGAACCATAATAGATCCACATGATCTTACAGAATCTTGTGGAGATAAATCAACTCGTGGGAATATTGTTAAAAAATCCAAATATATAGTAAAGAAATTTATTTAATTTGGTTTGGATCGCTTTAATTTGTTAAGTAAAATTTTTTTTTAATTAAATTATTATTTTTTTTTAGGCAGAAGTCCTTCATTTCGTTTTTACTTTCCGGGTTAGGCGCAACGACTGAATGATTTTGGCCCTTTTTAGGGGTTCAAAAGTTTTGAATGGCTAGTGACGTGTCCAATGATTATTTGAACTAACCGAATCAAGACGACAATGTCAATTAGAAATCATCCAAACATAAAGAACAGTTTTTTTAAGTTATTATTATCGTTACGAAGATATATCACTTGTCTATCACACACTTTATAACGACAGTACAATTGACATTATTTGAATTTATAAAAGTGATTGATTTATTCATTATATTGATTATTATGTATTGTAACCTAACCTATGATGCAATGAATTTAAAAACTTAATTTATTTATGTAAATATTTAATATG